ATAGCATCGACACTCCACTTCAATTTAAGAGTCTGGAATCTAAGAAGACACTGGGGATAAGCTGGAGACCAGACACTGATTCTTTTACATTCCAAAACAAGTTTGAAGAACAGGACAACGATACTCAACTTACAAAGAGGCAATTACTTTCATACATATCAAGTGTGTTTGATCCACTAGGATGGATATCACCACTTACTATTCGCGCTAAGCTGTTATTCCAAAAAACATGGTCGGACAAAGCCAACACATGGGACGAAGTTCTATCAGATGAAATGAGAAAATCCTGGATACAATTAAGAACAGATTTTCAACAATTAAATAAATTTATTATTCCTCGTTACATTGGAAATATAATAGATTGCCAATTACATGGCTTTAGCGATGCTTCAGAAAAAGCATATGCCTGCGCGATCTACATCGTAACAATAAACGATAAAGGTGAGTCCACACGGACTCTCATAGCGGCGAAAACAAAATTAGCGCCAGTGAAAAACAAACTTACGCTACCTAAACTAGAATTATGCGGAGCATTATTATTATCGCGGCTCATGAAAAAAGTTCTAGAAACCTTCACACACACAAACTTCAATATATTTGCATGGACAGATTCAATGGTCGTCCTCGGATGGTTACATGGAAATATTAGCAAATGGAAACAATTTGTATCGCACAGAATATTATCCATTATAGAGACAATACCATCATCCAAATGGCAACACGTACGATCAGAAGATAATGCTGCTGACTGTGCAACGAGAGGACTCACCGCGAAACAACTTTTAGATCATCATCTGTGGTGGGAAGGCCCAGAGTGGTTAAGTAACTTTAATATAAACAAATTAAAAAACACAACATATGAATCTCCGTGTTTAGAAATAAAGAAAAATAATGTGCACGCCGCTTTATACGACACAAATGATAATTTAATTATTAAATTATTAAAAGACTGCAACTCGATACGGCGCGTGACAACAATGATAGGTTGGTACTCGCGTTACATTAATTGGTTGAAAAATAAACATAATTTTACTAAACAGAAATATTTGTCTTGCAGTGAAATGAGTCATTCGCTCAATTTAATTATAAAAACAATTCAACATATTGAATTTCACGACACAATATCACAATTAAAATTGTACCAGTCTTTAAAGAAAAATACTCACCTTTCGTGTCTTAATCCTTACTTAGATGAGCAAGACGGACTGCTAAAAGTCGGTGGAAGACTAAATAATAGCCAGCTCAGCTCGTCAGCTAAACATCCTATCATTCTTCCAAGTCATAGTCGTCTCACCGAACTGATAATACACCAGTCACACATAATGACATTGCACGGAGGTCCAAGTCTTACATTGTCTCATTTAAGGGAGAAATACTGGATTATTAGTGGACAAAGAACAGTCAAACGTGAGTTACGCAAATGCGTGAGGTGTAGGCGACATAATGACCAAAGCAAGGCACAGATTATGGCAGATTTACCGGAATGCAGGGTCACGCCGTCTCGGCCATTTACACATACTGGCGTAGACTTTACCGGCCACTTTGATATAAAATTAAACAAAGGCCGTGGTGTAAAGACGAACAAGGGGTATGTGGCCGTCTTTGTGTGCCTGTCAACCAAGGCTGTCCACTTAGAACTTGTTTCGGACCTCAGCACACCCGCATTTTTAGCAGCGTTTCGACGATTTTGTGCTCGTCGTGGGACCCCTAGTCACGTATACAGTGATAACGGGACTAACTTTGTCGGAGCAAATCGCATACTAAAGAAAGAATATAAGGAGATCTTACAGACTCTCAACAGTGATTTCTTCAACAACATAAACGAGTACAACATACGGTGGTCATTCAATGCTCCTGCATATCCATCAGCTGGAGGACTATGGGAAGCAGCGGTCAAACGGTTAAAGTATCACCTCAGAAGAGTCGTGGGGGAGCAAAAGCTTACGTACGAAGAGTTCATCACATTATTGCATCAAGTAGAAGCTTGTCTCAACTCCAGACCCTTAATCGCATTAACCGAGAGTCCAGACGATCTATTTCTTACACCAGGGCACTTCTTGATAGGAGATTCACTCTTATCCAGACCACAAACTGATCCAGATCACATCAACCTTTCTACAAGATGGCATATGATTCAATCTATGAACAAAGAGATTTGGAAACGGTGGTCCTCAGATTATTTGCAGTTGTTACAAAGTCGATCAAAATGGCGAACACCCACGAAAAACATCGAAATTGACGATATTGTATGTATCAAAGAAGATAACTTGCCCCCTGGGAAGTGGGCGCTAGGCAGAGTGGTGAATGTGCACCCGGGCAAAGATGGCTATGTCAGGGTAGTCTCCGTAAAAACTAAAAACGGAATAATAAAACGGCCAGTTATAAAATTGTCTTTAATTCCGGTCAAAGAAAATGACAAGGTGTCGAGCAGTGGACAACAACCACAGACGAGCGATTCAATAACAACACCCTTACAGGGTCATACAAACAAACGGAGATCAAAATGTACAACAAGAAAAGGATTCCTTAATTTTATAACCATTACATTTCTTTTAATTTTATCTTTACTTTCTACGGGACAATGTACTTATAACATAACATCGTTGAATTCGGACCAATATCTTTATTTTAATAAAATAAGTGATATGAATTTGATTCGAGACGAATGGACACTAATAGTTTACTATAATATGACGACATACTGGACTGGATTATCAAACATGAATGTTTACATCAGGCATATAGAAAACAGTCTAGGCACTATGTCAGTACACATTCCAGCTCAAGATAAAAGTATCCTATATCAATTAAAACACGAGTTAACGGAAATTGAACATTATAATAGTTTACTTAGGAATCAAATGACTAAGCGACAAAAGCGTGGCTTAATAAACGGTGTTGGATATGTAGCTAATAAGTTATTTGGACTATTAGATGATTCGTTCGCAGAGCAGTACGAAAAAGATATAGAGAAAATATCACAGAATGAGAACCATTTACAACATTTACTTAAAAATCAAACATCTGTTTTAGAAGCTCAGTACAATGTTGTGCAAAGAAATGAAGATATTATGAACAAACAATTTCTAATAATAAATAGACAGATGAAGGAGATGGCCCACAATATAAATTACGTTAAAAGACAAATAGACGCCGAACTGTATTTTATTTCTTCATCAATGGCAGCTAATTCAGTTCTCACCAGCTTGAGACGTATTCAAGATACATTGATCAACATTATCACTGACTTGACACATGGCCACATGGATATGCATTTATTACCGCCAGAGCAATTGGCAGATCAGATTAATATTATATCAGGCCAGTTGAAGGGTGATCTTACTGTACCTACTGATAAACAAAACTTACAAGAAATTTACAAAATAATGAAAGTTAATACCAAAGTCGGCGAGAAATATCTAATAATTGAAGTAAAAATACCATTGATAAGCAAGGAACCTTTAGAATTAGACAGTGTTATTTCTTTACAGAACCAAAATCACATTGTTCAATTTGCAACTCCTTACATCGCATTTAATCTCCAAAAGGACATACTTCTCTTAATGACAGAATTAGACGTCCAAGAATGCTTACATCTATCAACAAATCGTGTCTTATGTTCTACAAATAAACCTATTTATGAAATTGCAATTACGAATACATTATGTAACATTAATATTACTGATAAAATTAATTTATGTAATTTTAAGGTGTCAGATTGCCAAGAACGGTGGGTCAGATTGCATACTAGCAATTGCATACTAGGTGGTTGTTTTCATGCTGTGAGATATGCTCAATTCGCATTTTTTGCCCAGAAAGCATGCATTTAGAAACCTTGACAGGTAATGGCCTACTGGATATAGGTCATGACTGCGTTATAAAAAGTAAAAGTTATACTATTTACAGTCACAATAATTACTTCACTCATTCCAAATATCAGCCTGATATACCAAATGTTCCAGTTACATCCATGCTTAATGCTATAGTGAACTTTACATCATACACATTTATTCCTGAAAACCATGAAAATGAATGGAACACTGTAAAGATTCAAATCGATGATTTAAAAAGACAAAGCGATTCACAATTAACCGTCCACGACGTTCATCAGTACTCAGTATTATATTGCTGTGTAGCAGTCATTCTATTGGCGGGAGGAATCTTCCTTGTAGTAAGATGTCGTAAAGTTAGAAGGATGACTATAGCCAGGACAGTGGCTTCCCAAGCGACGCCGAGTGACAGACAGCAGGTTCCAGATCAGAATAACGGTACATCTAGTGATAATTGTGAAGTGAATATGACGAGTAATTCAGTGCGAAATTTAGAAAAGTGTACTTGGATAACACCAAAGGCTAACCCGCGGTCGCGTTCGTTTCAACTAGACATTCCGTCTGTCAGTGATTGTGAGTGATAGTGATAATAACAACAAACTATTTAATACGGACAACATTAAGACATTTTATATAATTTCTAAGAATAATATTTAGTAGTAATAACTTTGAAATAATTTCAAACATAATTCTACATAAATACTTTACTTATTAATCATTTTAATTCTCTTTTGGGCTACTTGTAAAACATATAATTTAGTTTCATTCTTATTTTTTGTGTGGGCAGGATGTACGAGTCAATGTACATTGTATGTAGGTAAAAATAATAGTCTGATCAACATTTCAAGTTCAACGCTCTGTAACCTAAATTCACGTATTAATTATTGTCATTTATAATTTTATTACATTAAATCAGTGTACAAACAGCACTCATTGGGTTTGGTGATTTATTACGTTTCCCTCTCCCTACCGTATAAACTGTAGGTATCCCCTACAGTACGTTTTATACAAAACTGTGACCTAGCTTTAATGCCTGTTACCTAAGCTATTTCTCGTTAAATTAAAGCAAAAAAAAACGTATCTAATACCTTTCTATTATCTGACTGACGGACTAAATAGAATTGCATTTTTTTACCCAGTCGTCATCCCTATTGGATAGATGCCAAACTTATGAAAAAAAATTACTATATAATTACAGGAACCATTGTAAGAGTAGCGTGTGGAAAGGGATATGGACTTAATTTAGAACCGAATGCAACCGCTAAATGTGTTCGTGGCAGATGGAAACCGGAGAAACCAAAATGCGAAATACGTGAGGCACAATTCCATTACGACTGAGTAGCGTAGCGTACTTGTACTATAATTTAATATATGCCTATTATATTTTGACCCTTATGGTAACCTGGAGTGTTTTCAACACTAAAAATAAACGTAGTAATGCACATAACAACATTATCATACCTTGTTTGACTGATTGAAGATTAAATTTCAGAGCCATGTCATGTTCCTGCTACGGAGTACGGGATTTACACAATGCCGACTGAGTCTGGACACTTGATGACAGCTAGTCAAGTTCTAGGCACACCCGGTATAGGTCACGGAGACGAGAAGGAACTAAACGAAACAGACCCAATACCTAACGGGCAGGTCATTCATTTCTCCTGTGAATATGGGTAAGAATATTATCGTTAATAAAACTTTGAACAAAACCATTACATTTAAAAGCTTTATTATTACTTAATTTCCTTTGATATATGTAGATAGCTAAATTAATAACACTCTTCCAGATACAATGTACAAGGTCCTACAAATTTACGATGTTGGTTAGGAGAATGGGCTGTAACTAGTATGCCAGAATGCGTAGCAGGTACTTTAGATTTCTTTATTTCTGTCGATAAAGGAAAGCTGTTTTTTTTATTCCAAATTTAAAATGTTTTAAAGATAGCAAATTTTTGAACATGAACTGTATGAATAAATCCAATAAGTTACATGAGCAAGAAATCTGCCAAAAATTGCAACATTTTTTGAGTATACTCTGAATCTCTGAATAATACCTACACCATCTTTTCTTAGAATCTTCAGAATAAAGATGCAGTCCCAAATTCATTGTTATTTTTGGCAGCTCCATGTGAACTACCTTTACTTCACGGCGCGACATATGAAGCTGGGTACAGAGCAGGCTTGACGGTAGCACATGCCTCCTCCGTTAACATAGCATGTGAAGCTGGCAGGTCTCCTCCAGCAACGCTCAACTGCCATCTAGGACGACTACAACCAACAGTACATGACTTCTGCAGACCTCTTGGTAAATCCGCATTGGACTTTTTGACACGTTTGAAATATATTTTCATTAACTTAATTGGTGCTCGTTGTGACCAGTGCTTATAACTAACATTTTATGCACCCGATACGAGCTACTATGGCTGCACCTTTAAAAAATGTTCTGGTCCATTTCTGCGCCACGTGGATACCGTTGGTATTGCCCTAATTACGGTATTGATAGTAACTGACTCCTATACTTCTGATATATGCGAAACTATAATCAGTTTTAAAAAGTTGTAATAAATAATTAGTATTTTGATAGCTAGATCTTGGTATTCCGAAGCACAACTACTTCACTTTCAATTGGATCGTTGATTACATGGTTAATATGTTATATGAAGTTCTGACAGGTGTTATCCGCAATAACACTGCACAAGCAGAAATCTAACCGATACCCTCAATGGCTTAATAAGGAATTGATTCGTTCACTTAAAGAAAAAAATAATCTTAGATGTCGTTATAAAAAATACAGGACAAGATACAACTTAAATTAATTAGTAAACGTTGTAAAAAGTTAGCAACTACTTTATATAATAGTTACTTGAAAAAGACAGAGGAAGCCATTAAAGAAAATCCCAAATTGTTATGGACCCATATAAAAAATAAAAAGGGTGGCACTGGCGTTTACCCTCGTTCTATAACGGATGGACGGATTATGTCATCCAATAGTGCGGAGATTTCAAACTTATTTGCGAACTTTTTTTCTTCAGTGTATTCAATTAATAGTAGTGATGATAGTTATGACCACCGCCTGCTTAAATATCTGCCAAGTAATACCGAGTGCCTTACTATACCTAAATTTGATGTAGAATCTGTAGGAAAGAAACTAAAAAGCATTGATTGTAGGAAAGGTGCCGGTCCTGATGATATACCACCCAATTTCATCTCATCATGCGCGTCAGCCCTGGCACTTCCAATAACTATCATATATAACAAATCGATAACATCAGGAACTTTTCCAACTGTGTGGAAGCAAGCCAGAGTTGTACCCATACATAAATCTGGAAATGACGATCTCGTTAATAATTATCGCCCCATTTCCATTCTTTCCACTTTTGCAAAAATATTTGAATCTTTGCTTTGTCCTTATATACACCAGCATCTCAAACTCTATATTAGTGATCAGCAGCATGGTTTTGTTGGGCGCCGATCTACAGCAACCAATCTTTTAAATTTCACAGAATCTTTAATACGTTCGGTAGACTCCAGCAAGCAGTATGACGTCATTTATACAGACTTCACAAAAGCTTTCGATAAGATTTCCCACAGTCTATTGATCCATAAATTGTCTGCATACGGTATCAATGACTCTCTGCTCTCATGGTTCTGTTCTTACTTGAACAATCGCTCTTTTAGGGTTGTCGTAAACGGTTCTCAATCTACTAGCCGTGTTATTACTTCTGGTGTTCCTCAGGGGTCACATTTGGGCCCTATTTTATTTAGTATTTTTATAAATGATGCTGCTAAAAACTTTAAATTCTCGGAGGTCTTTATGTATGCGGATGATATAAAATTTGCACGAGAGATCGAATCGGAGAATGATATGAAACTTCTGCAAGCGGATTTGGATTGCTTAATTGAATGGTGTTGTATAAACAAAATGTATTTAAATCCAAACAAATGTTTCCATATGAAATTTACACGAAAACACAACCCATTATATTGTGATTATCATATAAGTGGAAACAAAATACAAGAAGTAGAGACAATTAGAGATCTGGGTGTTCTTTTCGATAAAAAAGTAACCTTTATACCTCAAATAGACAACATAGTCAGCAAAGCATCCAGGGCATTAGGATTTGTTATAAGGAATACCAAAGATTTCCATCATGCTGCTACTAAAATCTTAATTTACAACAGTCTAGTGAGAAGTATATTGGAATATTGCAGTGTGGTGTGGAGACCACATTACGCCACACACACTTTGCGCTTAGAGCGGATACAGAAACGTTTCCTTTGGCACCTCTCTTTCTCGACGCATAAGACTACACAGCTAAAATCGTATATTTCTAGATTGCAATTCTTTAGGATGGACTCACTAGCATTACGCAGAGATCTCTTGGACATGCTTTTTCTTTACAAACTAATGAGAGGTAAAATTGACAATTCTAAATTACTGAGTTATTTCCGATTTCGAGCCCCATCAAGAATCCCGCGTAGTCGTATCACACCTCTATGTCCTCCCATGAGAAAAACAGTATTGGGTTTAAATTCGCCGGTTGTCAGACTTTCTAAAACTTTTAATTCCTGTAGCGATTTACTTGATTTACATTTTGACTCTTACTCCACATAAAAAAAATAAGAATTAATGTTATCAATAGTATGTATCGATGTAAACAGATGTTGGTTAGTCAAATAAATAAACAACTAAATTCTAGAACTAAAATTAAATCTAGATTCGATCAATATTTTAATTTATGTGCACTTATGTCATTTTAGATTCTCTATATTATGTAGAAAGTCAAAATTAATATCAGAAATAAAACTGTTTACAGCTAACTTATCAAGACCACGACCGACATCAGAATATCAAAGTGGTTCCGACATCGTCCGCGAAGATATATCTGAATTGGAACCTGATGTAGATGGAAAAACTGTAACGGATTGTGGACCTCCTGCTAGGTAATATAAGTTCTGATTGTTTTAGATAACAAATAATATCTATCACCAATCGAACACTTAGGATATAATCAAGTGACTTGTACTTTTTAACCATTATTGTAAAGCACTTTGAAAAAAAAACTGGTTAATATGGTTGTGCCTTTAATAGTTAGGAAATAAGCTTTTAACAGTTCTCTCAACGCGCTTTCATTGTAGCTTCTGTGTGTTCTTTTATCAACATTTATAACATCTCATTCAGAGACCATACAAGAATCATGTGTCTCGTCTACAAATAGTCTCAGCTTTTCTGGTGTCATTGAAATTATATACGAATTGTAATTATAACGGATTTAAGACACTAGGAAAGTGGATGAAGACCTATGTGCTTTGAACGCAATTATTTTTTTTTGTTCCATGTAATATTTATTTTGCTGTTGTCTTGTCTATTATAAACATCAAGAGCAAGTTGAATTCAAGTATCAGAAGTGATAATTTGAGAGCAATTTGCTTCTGATGTAAAATGCTGTCACCCTTTAGAAGACGTAAAAGTAAATAAGTCGTGACAAAAAATAATATTTTTGCAAAGAGTCTGCATTTCTTATTTGCTGGCTGGATAGACTGAAAGGAACACAGGCGTTTAGGGATGCGAAGCCCTGGTGAGAGCCTTATAGGTTCGAAATTTTGCTTATTTAAATTCTTCATCGTATATATGATCTCATTATCATCAATTCATAGTTTCACTGACATTATAACCACCAATTTGGTTTGGTAATTCCATCTACTAACTTTTTTCAGACATTTTTTTATTGAAAGTCTCTTATTAAAAAACCTTTCATAGCTCATTTTAGGTAGGTCAAATCCTCGGAAAGCAGGGCTTAGATGATTAGGATAACAAAAAAAGTTTTTACAACTGGTTGTGTCAGCTGTTTGTATGGCCATGTAATTGGCTTCTTTTGTCTTGGCCAAGCTTTATTTTGGTTGCATTATTATTTCATTTTACAATTTCTTTGATGTCTAGTGCATGCTTTCGTCGAGCGTCTATCTCTTCTTTGTCGTAATATATAATCTTTATAGTTTCATAACTTATCATACCTTAAGTGTTAATGACATTTCCGACACTTCCAAATTTCAAAAGAAATAATTTGATGGTTTAAACAAGATAACTGAAATCAATGAATGCTATTCAATAACTTTTTTATTAGCTTCATCAAAAGGGCATTGGTTTATTTTTGTTGATTTATATCTTTTTCCGATATTTATTCTTTCTTATTCCTTTTTTAAGATATTTATATGGCACAAATTTTACCTAAAATACTCCGATAGGGTTCAAGGCACTCTCATATACCGTGACGGAGCAGAAGTTAACGGAACCGTTATTATGGAAGGATATCCTCATGGTACTGAGATTACGTTCCGATGCATTGCTTCCATAATGGGTGAGAAGACCACGTGGAAACTGATATGTGAGCACGGAGACTGGGTCGGCAAGAGTTTCAATTGCGGTGAGTTAGATTGTTTAGTAGTATATCGAGTAAAGTCAAAAATTTTTTCGAAAAAATCGCAAATTGTTTATAAAAAGCAACCACTATTAAGAACAGATGTTAAAAAATTATTTTGAAGAACGCTAGTTTTATTTTTAGGGGAGATAAAGTGTAATATTAATGTCAGTATTAAAATTATTGGAAAATTCGTCTTAGGTACAAGACTAAACTCGAACCAACAAAGTTTTGCTAACTTGACAAGATAGCTTTATTCAAGTATTCTTAACATAAATATCAAAAGTGCATTTATAGTATTAAATATATGTATCTAAGTTTACTGTAAATGTACACATATACATATTCTTTCATACGACTTTGACCACGACTTCGTCCACGTGGTTCAATGACAAATTACTATACAAACATACATCCCTAATTTCAACTTCTTCAACCTCTTCTTACAGGATAAAAGGTTGCCTATGTTCTTTCCCAAATTGAACTTTTATGTCTATTCCAAATGCCATGAAATTTTTTTCAGTGGTTTGTGGTGTGAATGCGTAACAGATGCAGAGATATTAACTCTTGCATTTTTAATAATAGGTTGTATAGAAGTAAGTTACCAATCTGACAATAAAACACAATACGGAAATATAAATCAAGTGACCTCATAAGTATAATAACCTATTTCCTTGTTTTGCAGAAGAATTAGAGGCGCAAAGTGAAGAGCTACTGAATAATAACAGTTGTACGTTTAGGAACGAGGAACCTCACGTGGTATCATTCTTTAATGACTTGGAGATCACAGAAACCGTAGACTTTCCAGCTGGTGCTGTCATAGTATCGAGGTAAATTTGTTATTCATTGTGAGAAAAGATTTTAATTAGAATATCGAAAAAGGTTTAACTTGAACTACTTGACAAAATTATGACAACTATGAACTTTGATCGAAATAGTAATAACATTTCCTTTACAGATGCAGTGATATTGGGAAGTATGCAATGACAGGATCACAAGCTCGAAAGTGTATTGGAGGATCCTGGGATGGCGCTAAGCCAACATGTTTCGGACTCAATCAAGAAAACGATTATGCCAGTAAGTAACCGTTAATTATATCATTGTTTTAACGATATTATATACATACTGTTGTATGAACTTATTTTTTATTAAATTTCTAATGTTTTTGCGTTCACATATATGTTTATGTGTATTTTATAAAGACACTTAAAAAGTTAGTCAAACTCAGGTCCAAAAAAGGGATTCGAGTCTTAAACTTTCAGATACCCGGCCACTGCATTATGCCGTAACTAGACTGCTGAATTTCATAAGTACTTTATTAATTTCGCATTTACGGTTCTTCTTAAACATCCGCTAATTATTATATGAATTTGATTTTTATATATTTATAATAATCTTATGTTTATATAACAACCCCCACTAAATGTAATCAATAAATCTTCCAAGCAATCATAAACTTCCTGTCACTTATCCCCAGTGGAAAAACCACCCACAATCCTGTTCCGGCACTCCCAAGGGCCAATCGCGCAGACCAATGACGGGAAACTGCTGGTCTACCCAGGAACAGTGTTGCACATGGAATGTCTCTGGATGCGGCGTTTTGGCAATCCTAAATGGAATGTCACACATTATATCCCTGAGTGGGTATTTTTAAGCTTTTGCTTGATTTTAAAATAATTTTTACGATTGTACAGATTTACACTTAATAATTTTAGATGCGCACTTGATGCTTATTTAAAGGAAGACATAAAACAGCTTGAAAAGCCTGTAAAATAATTTTCCATAAAATACCAAATCTATTTATTTATTATGGTTCTTCTAATATTGCTAAACATTTTATATTGTTTCAACATAAGTCCTGAGCGCAAATATCCTGAAGGTTGGACAACGGATCCTGGTCGCGATAGCCAGCTAGAGTATCGGCTAAGCATTATGGGTGCTGTCAAGGAAGACTCTGGTATATACCGCTGTGAGACACCTGCAAGGCAGAGCCATCAGGTTGAAATTATTGTTGAAGGTAATGATTGATATGCCTCTTCAGTATCTGTAGTAGAATATGTTAATCTCTTACTGAATTAATGGCAGAGAAAATTTTACGTAGTATACATTTTCTCTAACAAGCACTGTACTTTGTATTATTGTAATCAGAAAAGTGTTAACGGCCATATGTGCCACGCATGTAAGATTATTGAGATGGAAGATACGTGGACGACGTGGTACTTGTAGACACGGTAGACAAGTTGGAAGGAGACGCACTTCACTATTTTTCTTAGGATTATTGTGGCAGGCTACATCATCATCATCAGCCTATACATAGCCGAGTGGTTCGCATGTCGGTTTCAAGGTGTAGCCAACTCTGTGGTCCCGGATTAGTTTACACATTTTGGTTGTAAACGAGTGTTAACAACCATCAATCTCTAGCTAGACCCAACGATATCACGAGCCTTCCGGACACGATTTAACGACCAGCCCTTGCGACAGTTGCTTAATTTCTTTATTAAAATATGATCATTTCCTTAAATAAAATCGCACAAACTTTTAAGAAGACCAGTAAATCTGTGAGCCACTTAATTTTTTTCTGTAGATGTACACTGCCCACCATTGCCTATTCGTCGTGGTCTAGTAGCCAACGGACTGGGGACACAGCTGGGTACGGAAATACGATTCTCGTGTGCTAATGGGAACGCGCTACTCGGCGCCCATACACTCGTCTGCAGGGCTTCTGGCAATTGGTCTGCGCCGCTACCTGTCTGTGAAAGTAAGCTCCTGCTTCAATTTTTAGCTGCTAAATAAAAAAAGTACTATGAAAATAGTTTTTATTTAAATGCGTTGTGTTTGTTATTCACTTAGAATTGGACGCGTGTCACTTAGCAATGAAACATAAGATTTTTATTGTTTCACGTGACAATCGATGTGTTTGGATATTTCTCCTAGCTGCTTAAAGGATTAATATTTTCTTTTGTTTTTTCTAATGTTTAGTTCACAGTATTAAATCATAGTTTTAATACTAGTTGCCGATTCAATCATTGTACGTATAGCCTGGGTGATTTTTGAACTATAGCCAATGTAGTAAAATAATTCTGCTAATGTTTCGTTGTTATATTCTGATTCTGGAAAGTCGATACCGTTTCAACTACAACTCTAAGCTCACTTCACTATATCACAGAATAATAATAAATATATCTGTCACCATTTATTTGTGAGGAAGACCTTACACTTATAATTGCACTTCAAGTAGAGAGTACAATAGCAAAAACAAGTTCTCGAGAGATCCGAATTTACGTAAAGATTAGCTGAAACACTAAAAGGACGTATTACCGTAACTTTATATTGCGAGATTACAGCACTACATTCAATAATACATCATTGCTGCCTATTTGAATGTAAGAAAGAAGGAAATCATTCATTTCTGCAAGTGTACGGGAATCGTTCCTTAAATTCCTTCATATGTGCTAGTGCTGCCATCTACATCGAGCTTTTCCTAATATTTCCAATTTTCTTCTACAACTTTATAGTACATACTTAACTTCTCAAATATTTGAATCTATAATTAATAACCTAAGTTTGAGATCTAATGAATAGTATGCTACTAAGATAGTGCTGAAGAAGATGCTACAAAGCATTAATGGCAAAAGTTTTAATAATAAAAGTCAACTAATTTACTACTTCATTCATAAAGCTCTCTGGTAATTGCTACCTAGGCGTGGAGTGTGGAGAAGTAGTCCAAGATACGCCATTAGGTGAGGGTGAGAGGAGACCACGCGTGGCGGTGGTGTCCCGCGGCGTGGGCGGTCGTGCCGCCTTCTCCTGCCCCGCGGGGTGGGCGCTCCGGGGCCCTTCAGAGACTGTCTGCTTGCCCGCCGCGGACTGGGCGAGACCATTCCCTGTATGCACAGGTCGGTATAATTAAATACGTTAGTATTCATTAAAGATACATCGTCAAACATAACCGTCAGAGGTTGTAGAGGTTCAATCAAATAAAAGCTTCATTACTTTCGCACTAAATAGGTTTCATTTCATTGGCTTTGTTCCATGCTGTATTTTTAACATTAGTTGAACTATGCGCGGAAGCACATTTTCGAGCTTACATAAGCTAAATTGTAATACAATTGGAGAACGGTACACCAGGTTTCCTAGCTCGAAGGGAAGGCAAATTCAATTTGTTCCACTCTTAGAGGTTCAGTTAGTCACTTATGTCTAACACACTAAAACCCTCAATCAGGTGAACCGTTAACAATCAGTTCGAGTTCCCCATGTCATATGTGTTGAATCACTATATCCACCTTTACCCTAGTATAGAAAGTGATTCAGTGCATTTCTTATGTCATTCACGGAAATTCATCGATAGAGACAATCGTATCATAATTCAACATGCAAAAGTTGTTAAATTTCATTTAATCAATGCAATAAGAGCTCGACTTTCACAATCGCAGATTGAATAATTCAACATTTAATACAATACTCATCATTCTCCTACAGAGGTATCATGTCCAGCTCTCTCGCCGCCTGCTTCAGGGTATGTACTCGGTCGAGCCCCGTACAGAGCTGGAGATGTGCTCCAGTTTCATTGTAACCCTGAGCATACACTACACGGCCGACCAATTTTAGTATGTCAAGACAGCGGCCGATGGAGTGATAAACCACCCACATGTAAGTTTAATTGCGGAGGAACCAAGACCTTTATATATACTTAACGTGACCATAGTCGAAAATCAAGAATTCTTGTGACTTAATTTATAAAAGTCCCCTTTGTGGTAGTGCGATAACTGTGTTTAAACAACCACTTTGTGTGTTGGTATACGTGTAATATTCCAAATAATCCCAAAGCAATTAGAAAACAAATTCAATTAAATTACTCGGAATTAACAATATACCTATGTAATGCTAAAACTTAAGAGGAATCTGTTATGCTTTACTGACAGTTTTTTTCTGTAATTACAAAACATATTCATTTTGTTTCTAGGTGCTCAAGCTTGTACTTACCCTGGCACCACGATATCAGGGAGAATGTCTTCAGTGAAGTTCTATTACAAGATCGGAGAAACGGTCACATTTACCTGCGAACCTGGTTACAAACTAAAAGGGGCGCCAATGCTCCGATGTCTTAAGTAAGTAAAAGCGACTATTAAAATATTGGAGATATTACCTACTAGCTTTCGCCCTAAGGATTTTTTGTGGGATAAAACATATCCTATTATCTAAGTCAGCTAATACCCTATCTGTATACCAAGTTTCATCAAAATTCTTTCAGTAGTTTCTGCGTGATGGACGGACAAACATCCAAACAAAGAAACTTTCACATTTATAATATTAATTAGTAATTAATTAAAAGGATAATACTCTCATGTGAGATCACCTTATCTCAAACTATAGCCAGATCATGGTCAAGATCCTACTCAGTAGCAGCGTTAGGGTAGGGCGCGGATATAAAGGGACACCCCTTTATATCTGTTCGCTCATTTAGCCAAACCTATTCGTAAAGAATCATGTCCTAGTGATGTGACATCTAAAATGTAGCATATCTTTTACTTAACTTATATCGTGTAATTTAGTTTTAAATTTGTAGGCTGATAAATATTTTCAAAAAGTTACCCTGTGCGATTCAGAATCTACAATGACGGGTTGCTACGTTTCGTTTTACGGAATAATGTTTTTTCTTCGTACGGTTAAAAAGTACACATTAATATTTACATATCAATTTATTTCCACATCTACGCTAAAAAAGATAAACTATAAAAAGCTTTCATTTTAGCAGCAATGTGGATTTTTTAAGCATTTTTCATTAAGCACCAATAGCAAGAAGAGTTATATATATTTTTTAAATAAACTATTGTTTCTTTAAATAAATAATTATTTCATTCTATTCTTTCCTTTTTTCGAATGGTTGTAAATGTCAGTTATGGGACACTATAACAATCTCGCCAAGGGCGCCGGAAGTGCTAAAACCGGCCTTGGTCAAATACATCAAATATTTAGATTATTTTTTTGAAGTATTTATTTACAACATTATGATACGATCTAGTCATGAAATTTGGATTCACATCGTAGACTTTATTCACCAGTTTACTTATCGAAAATCTTATCATTCACTAGGAATAGGAAATGGTCAAACGCCATTCCCCTCTGCGCGCCAATCACAAACTTCACATCATCAGACTCCTTAGCTATGCTGAATGGTGACATCGACGCCATGTTGTCGGATGCCGCCATCTTCCCGACTGACGTTTTGAAAACGCGCGAAACGCCTGCCATCTTGACACCAGAGAGTTATAAAGCCGCGATGACACGTGTCGCAGCAACAAGATTACTGCGAAGAGCGCCCATTGAATTGTATAAACACAGAATTTCCAAAGTAAATAATTTGCTTAGAAGAGGCAACGAAAGATAATTTTTATTTTGACGTTAGATTATTTAAATAGTGTTTTTTTTTCTATAGTTTATTAGAATTGAGAAAAAGGAATTGTATCAACTTAGGAAAAAATACATTTTATTAAAAAAAAAACCTTTCCTTTGATACTAATCTTTAGAAGGAGATTGTGTGTTGATAATTTAATATAAAAATGGATTTGAATTAAGCCAAAAGAAAATAGATTAATTAATATATTAATATAAATAAGTATTTATTTCTTATTTTTTGAAGACTGTTATTTAAATAATAAATTAATATTATGTAGTAATTTGTAAATTATTGATATTATGTGTTAGTTACCGTACATTTATTATAAGTAAAAAATTATTTTATCGGTTTTATGATGTGTAAATAAGATAATGCTTTGCCAAAGAAAAAATAATATTATAAATATTAGTCCAAAATTATGTAGATATATAAAACTGAATAAGTCTATTGAATAAATTAATAATAAATTAGTTCATAGTTAAATGTAATTATTGAAATAAATCTTTACCACGCACAAATATTTGGGAGTTTTAAAAAATCTGTTTATAATCATTAAATCAAAATGATGCTCTAGTATAATATATTTATGATCTTAAAAAATTCATTGGTCAACTTTATTTTACAAAACTAATTAAATTCAACATTAAAAAATCAAGTTGTCCCTTATTACATTATTAAATTTTTTTCACCGTTTTTCTATAGAACATAAAACTTTTTAATGTATTGATCCATTTTAATCTATGATTTTTCATATTTATCAATAACATACATAAATAACAGTTGTCTTTAGAAATAAGAGTCAATAAACAGGTTGTCACATATAGTACAGTCAGTATGGGAAAGTTTTTAATCATACGCCATACGAAGATAAACAATGCATGTTATTTATTTTAGTAATCATGTTTCATAATCGCATTGACATCTTAAGACCTACGCAATGGGTATCTTAATAAAAACGGATTAGATTAGTTTGATTTCCGGACTAAGAACTAGTTCTTTTTAATGTATGAGTGCAGTTTTTCTTGTCACTAAAATAGATGACATGGTTCCTATGACTTTCCCATACTGACAGTTCTAAATGTTACACCTGTATAATGCGCGGCATGTAAGTTGAACCAAAATAGCGACTTACCAATGGTTATGCACTGCGTATAACCTCGATTGAGTACCCGTTACCGATTTGCTACTTCTACCGATACTTCAACTTATGTTGAAGTATCGGTAGAAGTGGTATCTGTAGTATTACGAATACTATAGTATCCATTTTTCTATGATTCTGAATAATATTATATTTGTAAGTATATATAAGTATGAACTTATTCAATTTATTGACAAAAAAATAGATTTCAAATATTTCTTCTTAAATTACAATTGGCTATTTGACTGTTTTGAGAGAGGAAGGGAAACATATTTTTATGTATTATTTAAAACTGTCCTACAAAAAATAATCATTTATGTGACATTTAAAGCTGTGACGTCACATTTCATTAAACACGAGTATTTAGGGCAATTCTGCTAATGTTAGGGTATTTATGGAAAGTCAATAGCGCTCCAACTACAACCCTTTATGATACAGCTGTTGTTACTTAAATAGTAAATAATTTGTCATCATTTATTTGTGAGAAAGACATAACACTAATAATATTGGACTTCAGGTAGATAGTACAACGCCAAAATGCTAGCAGTTGAGAATTTATGGAAATACTATTATTAGTTAAATATAGCAGAACTGAGGCCTTGGTTCTTTCTCGCAACAAAGACGGTGACATTTAGTTTATTGAAATGTGACGTCATACGATGCTCGGTAATAGCCGCTCCTGTTTCGGTTCTTGTGTACTCTTCGGTTCAAGTTAATTTAGCAAAAATAAAATATTCTTACAATAAATTTTAAAGCAAAAAATACTACATAGTTATACCATATTTCTTAATTTATTTCAAAAACTGTCAAGAAGCCAATTATAAAACAACCTCAAATTAAATACCTTACAATATTTGTGTAAAATTAAAAATATTATTTTTCTGTTTTGCGATATATTATACTTGAGCTACTTTAATAAAATGCATATCAGATATTTACCATATCTTTTTAAGGATTTGTTGTTAAAATACTTCACGATTGATAAAAAATTCAACAAGAAATTCGTGTTTGTCTATAATAATGTATACGTTGCATCACACTACGTAATAAATATGATCAATATAGCGAAATAAAAGCCAAATAAAACTATTAATATTGTTTTATTATTTTATTTATTTAAACCCATTCTAGGAATATTTTAATTAAGACTAAATTTGCCCGAAGCTAGTGCCTGGTATTAAAATCATAGCAAGGAAACTAATGTAACTGAACAGATATTACAAATTTGACTTTGATCCATAATTATTGGGTAAGGGCAAGGGTAGGCGTTTTATTAATTATCGACTTGAAAAATTGACGAGAAAACGGTATTAGGTTGTCCATAAACTGAAATTATAGATTTGATAATAAGGAACTTGGGAAATATTATTTTGCCTAATTAATTCATGAATCTAATATTTATTTGAAATTCACTTTCATTCCAAGGATCAAGATTAGAAGGCTGAACATCACACGATTCGTTAAATCAGGGTTTATTGAAACCAAGGTTTAATCTGCCACTGCTTGCTTATATTTCTAATTGCTTGTTTACATTGTATTAAAATTTTTATCATAGGCTTTCATTACCGCTATGACCCTGACGAGGAAGTTTTTTGAAATATACTTATGTGTAAGTTTATCTTGAATAAGTCGCTTTTAAGATAAGTGAGATAGTAATCATTTTCATTTCATTATACATAATTTGTATAGGTTGGACTACTGCCGTAACGTTTGAATTTCCAACAACAAACATTTAGTTGGTAAAGGGGACGGCGGACGCTTAAGAGCCATATTACATTTCAACGGTGATTTTTGCGTAATATGGTAAATTTTGGTGGTCTCGATCTCAGTAACAAAATTATATTAATAATTTTGACTTATTGAATAGAGTAGAATAGCTCTTGCCATAGTTTTAAGTGACTCTGCTTTTTGAAAATTTTGCTTGACTTTTTAATTAAACCCAAAATAGCAAAGAACGATTTTCGTAAAATTCGCGAAGACACTTTTTTGAGCTCCTGGATTGTGCTAATGAAATAAAAAAGAATATAATGATATTTCTTATATAGTCGTTTAGTTTGTAGTAACTTAGAAATTTTGAAATAATAATGATTAAATATATTTAAAAAAAAACATATTATAAACCAAAAAACTTCTTTGAGTTGCTCGGTGGTGTAGTGGAAAAGCGCCGTGGCACGCGATCGTTGTTGTTAAGCAATTTTCGCAATTGTCGGTCACGGGATGGGTGACCAAAAAAATATTATATCCAACTACTCCGTGCTTCGGCAGGCACGTTAAGCCTTTGGTCCTGGCTGTATTTGCAGTCGTTAATACCCTCCAATTGCATTAGGCCAGCGTGGAGGGTTAGATTCTCCTTCACCATTCGTAAGGAAAGGCCTGAGTCCTTGCAGTGGGGACGTTAAAAGGCTGATGGTGATGATTATTTTTCATGTTGCAAGTGTTGCGATGGCGCTAGTGGGTAAGTATAAAAAATAACAATCAATGTCTTTTTTGTTTGTGAACAATCAAAAGAAGTTATATTCTCCTTGATAAACAAGGAAATGTCCCAAAATTAGTATCTATGTTTGATCTGTCAGGCAGCATAATATTTAAATTTGTTATAAAACAATATGTAGATAGGAATTACATATTTTTTCCTATTAAAAAATGAAATATTTGCTTTATTGGGCGCTTTCCATTCTGCATTATTGATTAAAAATTGAAGTTTTTATATACATTTCCAACCGCATTAATAACAACAGTCATTGGACTGAAATAAAAAAGCGGTATTAATATCGTGCCCGACAATGAGATAGATAGTAAAATTGCGCGGCAAAATAAGTTTTTAACTCCTATAATTTCTCGTAAAACTATTATGATAATGGCTACAAAGTGATTTATAAACCTAAAATTTTTTCATTTTTAAAAGAGTATAATTACAAGAAAAAAAAATTAATTCCGGTGAAACTTTGTGATTTATTCTCTACCGAGTATATAAAAATATGACGTTTTGACGATAATAGGACTCGTAAATAAATTATAATTAACACGTTATTTCTTACAGTCTTCATAATTTAGTTCAAAAGTAGTTGAAAGTTAAATGATTTAGGCGCACGAGTCCTATAATGAGCATAATGATTTTTATTACCGATTGGTTATGTTTGGGAAATCGTAATCATATTTATAAGTAAACATATTTAAAAAAATCGAACAATAAAAGTGTCCAACATTTCGAGGTAATCGTTGTTTATATTGTTATCACCAGTGATCGGAATTAGGTAGAGTTATTCATGTACTTACACTGATTTCATACAGCGAAAGAATAAAGTGGATATGCCTCAAATCCCGAGATTAATTTTAAAGAGCAGAAAAAATCCTGTGATTTTTTAAATAAAAAGTTATTTACTTTTACACAATTTAAACTACTGCCTGCACGACGTTGCCAAACTTACATCAATGAAAGAAAGAAATAAAGAAAGAAAAGAAAATTATAATTCCATGAAGAATAATGCTTACCATTATTAAATATAAGGTATTTTTACTTAAATACCGTTGATGCAACAAGATTAAAATATAACAAAAGAGTCACATCTTTTCGTTATTTAAAAAGGTCGTGAAGTGACAAATGTCAAAACCGACAGTGAAGTTTATATTTTTTTTTTACGAAACTAAATTTTCCTCGGGATTAGGCCCATTCAGCCGAGTTGTATGGAAAATTACATGTGACGTAAATTTTACGTTACACCATCTATTATCCACCATATCGTTCAATGCTTAACGTTTGTTGATTTTTCCGACTATACTTAAGCCAATCGATTTTGTAGTGACCAAAGTACTATGTGAGCAGAGACGGGCAACAATCCGGATTTTCTCGTATCGCCGATCTCTATATGTATAAAATGAAGTTTAAATAATAATAAGCTTAGCTTTCAACTGCGGGAATACAACAAATTTTATTAAAACGTTTCAGTAGTTTTAAGATATAAATATTTCAATTTGACTAATAAAAGGAGTATAAATTGATGATCATTTTATCCAACTTAAAAAAAGAGACAATTTACTTGTGTATGTACGTAAAGAGCAGAAAAAATCCTGTGATTTTTTAAATAAAAAGTTATTTACTTTTACACAATTTAAACTACTGCACGCACGACGTTGCCAAACTTACATCAATGAAAGAAAGAAATAAAGAAAGAAGAAATAAAGAAATCCCGGGAAGGTCCATATTAATATCAACATTTCTGTGCAGTACATAAATAACTCTACCTAATTCCGACCTCTGATTATCACTCATGACATAAATGAAAACTTTGCAATCAATACACGCTCTTTGCTCACGCAGACACGAATCTCATACGGCTTCACTAAATATCGTTGCGCTTTTTATGGGACACGGAATCGGGACATTATATAATAAATGTACCCAGTTTTGACATATTTTTACAACAAGTGTTTGCTCCCAAAAATAGTCTACTCTCGAAAAGCTAGAACGAATTCAATCAAAATTGGAATAATGTCGTTCTATGAATAAATAATTCGGTTCATTTTTGAGAGAGAAAGATTTTTTGAGAGAGAAAGAGTCCTGAACAAGCATAGGGGGAAAAAAAGTTTTTCCCTATGCTTGTTCAGGACGTCTTTTAGTTGACAAGAAGAACAAATGAAAGAAACTTACCAGCTTTTTATCATAAGTAATGACATTTACATAAATCATGTCATTACCAAAGTAATATGTATTATCACAATAATAAACAGAACTTTTAAAGTCTGTAGGGCATAGGTTGACCATATAATTAGTCTTTATAGAACAAAGCGAAGGCTATTAATTCCATGCATTGCGATCCTTAAAATAATCATCAACTTTATAATAGCCTTTACTTATAAGTATGTTCTTTACATGAATTGACATGTAAGGCTCTTAACTTTAAGAAACTTGACACTTTAAAAAGAGCGCATTAAGATTTTAGTATGGAATCCAGTGCCCCTAACGGTGACTACCAAGAACTACAAATCTCCATCTCCATACGAATTCTTACTACTTTATTCTCTATGCTCGTTTCCGGAACGGAACCCTTTGTTCGCGAGTGCGACTCCCACTTGGCCGATGTTCTTAACTATGAGAATTACATTATATTACAGCTAATCCATAAATAATAATGATCTAAAAATCTAGAAATTTTGAATGAAATCAATATTTTTATTTTTAAACAAAATACTATTCATATAAGCTTTCAAACTTTCGCCTTGCATTGCAATAAAGGAGAATATTTTTTTGGCACTTTATTCCGAAAACATCTAACCACTATAAAGATAATTGTCATAGCACCTAGAACCAATCATCTTCCTTTCATCAAAGGCTTGATGAAAGGTAGATGATTCAGTTTCAGGCTTGAAAGTTATCCTGTTTTAGAGAAGTAAGTTAAACAACTTGGTATGGTTTTCCTAGTATGCACTGGCCATTACTGAATCTTCTCTATGGTGGCCACTAAGGCCGGAATTCTTCGTCGTCCTGCCTGCAACCTGGTTGTGCTACCATTTTAATAATATTTATTTTCATATTGGTGATGGCTTGTTACGTCGGTGACCCTAAATTATTGTGTTGTTACACCGGGGGCGACCATGTCACCGACGTAGCAGGCCGCATACCAAATCTATGGTTTCATTTTTTTTTATTAAAAAGGAAAATAAATGAGTTTCCAAAATGCACTATCGAAGAAATTCCACTCTGTGACGAGTTAACTTGCTTCACCGAAGAGTTAAGTTCTAATACACCAAATACACTTAACTCGCTAGAAAAAACATGTTTGAGTAACTCGCAATAGTACTTATTGAAGCGTAAATCGGGATTAAGAGATAAAATCATAAAATATGAAACAAACTCTTGTAAAAAATAGTAAGTACCTACTTAGTCATTAACTTGTTTGAAATATTGCAATGAAAATACAGTCATATGTTCAAAAGGGTATTCAAATAAGATTCGTATTAAAAATATATTCTATAACAAAACTATAAGTTACTCTAATATCTAGCTTCGCAAAATCATAACCAGTACAAATCGGTAATGCACCGAGAATTAACGGTGGTCGGACGGCATTGATGCATGCCTTGTCGCAAAATGTCGATTGTCGAACGAATGAATGGATGCATGCAAGCAACCAGTCGAGCGCGCGCCGCGCACTATGAGTGACGTTGATAAGTTACGCGTTTTCCCGCCAAAACGCGCTCAACTTTCCGATTGGCCGATCGAACGAGCCTGCCAGTGTTAGTTATAAAAACTTTTTGTGATCATAGTGTTAAACTTTTTCTTTTCCAAAAAAGTTTATAATGTGTGTGATTTTTCATTGTGTTGTGATGGCGTAAGCTGCGATAAATCGGTAGTGGAGGTTGGTTAATAGATTTTCTCGTTGACTATAGACGCTAGCCACATTTATTTGTAATTAAGATAAAATTCCTATTGCTCTACCTACGAAACAAAACTTTTTGGTAACCATTTACCTGTTTCTTTGACAAAGTTTTAAAGACTAATTTTTGTTTTCTAGTTTTTGTTTTGCAATCTGTGGACCGTAACGTTTTTTTGGGCGAACATTAAACATTGTCGTTAAGGTGTAAAGGTGAAAATAGCTTGAACAGACAGACGTTTTTGTCAGAAATCAATTTTTTTGGTAGACATGGAAGTAAAGCGATGAGAGAAAATTGGGTCATAGCACAGTACAATCATAAAACAATAAATTTTATTGATGTAGGTACCCTCGATTTGAAAAAAACTATGACAAATTAATGAACTTTTTTTAATTTATTTTGGCATCAAACAGTCATATATGGTTTACAGTGATAAAATTATAAACAATATGGAAGAACAGTGCCTTAATTTTCATTAAATTATAAACAACCGTACAGTTCTAATGTACCAAAACGCGATTAGATATTTTTAAAAAAGAGAGAAAAATTTATGCTAAATCAATTTTAAGGCCTGTTATGTATAAAAAAAAACCTTGTTGTTGGTGGAACGATAAAGGAAAGAATAACGAGAATATATAGTTTTTTTTTTATAATGCAGTGGAAGAAACAACAAGCTGACGCTGATGAGGCAATAAGGGGGTTTAATATTTTATTAAAAAAAATAATATCAAACGATTTACGACGCTTGGGTAGGGTAAGCATATTATAATGTCGAAAAGACTCATCATAGTTGCTATTGTTGCGGTAATTGAGTGACCTTATAAATTTCTTTTGGATCCTTTCGAGTTTATCAATATGGATGTCGTAACAGGGATTCCAGATGCTGCTTAATCATGAGTAGAACGAACGTATGAAAAGTAAAGAATCTTCAGAGTATTAGAATGTTTAAAGGTTTATTTATTTTATGAGTGAACCCCAATCTCCGAAATCCTCTACTTACGATATAATCTATATGATATTCTGGAGACTATCAATTGCTTGAACTTACCTTTTTAGCAGGCGAGAAACTGTCCTGTCTATTTACAAGAGACCATTTGTAAATGAACGCAAAAAGTGAATGATGATTCTACTTCCTGCTAATATCAATGCGAAAGTTTGTGAGAATGTAGGTAGGTAGGTATGTTTGTTACTCCTTCACGAAAAAACAACAGAATGAATTTTGATGACATTTGGTAGGTACCTACACGATGGAGCAGTGGTTAGCGCGCTCGGTTTGCGATGTTGTATATTAGTCCTGAAACAACAAAATTTTCATTAGTTTAAACCGATATTAGTGATACAAATTTTCAAACTTAGATCATTTACTAGAGCTTAAAGTAGTCATTAAACCTTAACAGTGTTAATTTGTTAATAAACAAGGTTAGCGTTGGAGTAAACATAGGTACACTGAGACTGCATTTAGTATAAGACAAAGTTCATATTATTAAACAGTGACTTAGCAAATATTAACCTAGTACAAGGTTCTAGTTAAAAAAAAAGGATTATGACCGAGTATGAGCATGAATGTGGGAGGAAATGTAAGGAGAGGAAGACCGAAGAAAAGATAGTGAAAGATGATATGTGTAAGAATGAAGTGAACGTTGAGATCACATTGGAGACTAGGGTTGCCAACCGTAGTATAATATATAGAATTGTACTGTAACGGTTTCGGGCTAGCTTCGATGTTTGTAGTTAAATATAAAGGCTGAATTAACGATAAAAATAAAAAAACTATCAACAAAAATAATAATGATATAAAAACAGTTCGTTAAGGATTGATGTGAAAATCATATTAATACCTATATGTTACCTACACTTAATTACATACCCCGTTTCTGGGTTTTCCTTATAAGCTGGAACTTAGTTTCATAAATATAGATTGTTCACTTTTATTTACACTCTCTATTACATAATATTTAAAAAAATATTTAATATATTTACAATAACGTGTTGCTTTATTAAATTTATTACGAAAAGCGAATAATAAAAAAGAAATGTTCTTAAAGATCAGAGACAAAAAGTTTGGATGTGGGAATCTAGAACGAAATAAACAGTGTAATACGACGCAAGTTACAGTACTATATTTTGGGCCTGCGTACTATATACTGTTGTATAAATATATTAACACGTAAAAATACTTAATTTTCAACACGAAAATCTAACATAGAAATTCTTCGTTTATGAAGGTGCCTATTACGTTAACTTTTGATTAATAGGAAAGCTTAGATAGATAGTATATAAAAGAGAGGCTAGTAAGTTATGGGTAGTAAGAAAAAACGGCATTATTCAAATTTCATAGTCTAGTATATCCTTATTCTTAAGGCATTTGTTTTAGTTTATGTTTGATTCCTGTGAAATTTGTTAATATCTAGAATAAATACTGTACATTTTTAGTGTACTATATCATAATACTCGTATCTTATTTAAAAATACTATATTTCGTTGAAGACTAGTTCGCAATCCCATTGGAGAGGTATGGAAGAAGAATATTGTGACTATAATAAATAAAATAATTAGAATAAGGGCAAGCAAATAATATTCATGATTTTCCGTAAGAATAAACAACAATCGAGCATCAACCTTCGTTTTCTCGTTAACATGGGGACTGGCAAATAACACAATGTTTACATGCATATTATTACTCTTAAATACCATTGTAATCCGAAAAAAGAGAATTTTCCTACCTTCAAAATACCTTTTTGAGATGTGTTAACAAGAAACACAAACAAGAACGAACTGACACGATTTAATATGAGATTATGGAAAGCCACTATTCTCAACCTGGCCTGTGATTGTGAAGGTGAAGCGACTGTAACAGAGGTTGATCTTGAGTAAAGTGACCAATTTTTTTTACATTGATCTCCTGTTTGTTACGTTGGTACTTTATCAGTGAATAATAGAAAGGTGTGGTTGTAATGCGAGAAACAATGTAACAAAACCACTTTTTAATTAGGTTCCGTTCATTAATCACGTGAGGCTCGTCAAAAGTCACGAAATATCACAAGGGTGGAGGGGTGTAGTAATATATCACGTGTATTTCTTTTTTTCTTAAATGCGCGATTACTAAACTGAAAAGCAGCGTTAAAAATTAGATTTTTTGTAGGTGCTAAAAAATACACATGATTTGGATGGAGGGGGTACTCTTAAATCTCATCATGTATCATTAAGGGGGAGGGCGTGTTAAAAATTGCTGCAGAAAACATCACGTGATTAATGGACGGCCACTTAATTATTTACTCGGAAATCATACGATTGCCATTAAATTGCTTAATATCAGGCCTATATAATAATACTGTTGCAGATATTGCAATTCGCTTTTTATAGAATAAAACGGATTGACTTAAATTTATACAATAAATAAATAAATACTCAAACTAGCTATGCGGCTACCACGTAAGCAGATACCTTCTTTCTTACCTGCTAACATTTGGTAGCTTAAAAAACGACAATCACTATTTAATGTTGAATCAAAGCTACCGTACTCCGAAAAGTTCTAATAATATATTTTGTTGCTCCATTTTTCATAAAAAAAGCTGACAGACGCATGTTTAATGCGCCCGCACTCGCGTTCGTCCTGGTCCGAAATGGTCCGAGATATCGTGTCCGTGAGCGCTGTATATGTGTGCTTTACTTAGCACACTTTGTATTTAGATTGCGTTATGTACTTATTCTGTGCTCTACGCCATCGAGCTCCTTCTTTTCCTGAGCCACTGATTTGTTTACTTATGCATTAGATCGAGTGAAGTATACCATTAAGTCTCATACATAAATTCTTAGTAAATGTAGGTTTCCACATTCTATTCTTAATGATTGCACGTGCAACAGAAGCTGCATAACAGAATAATTTACGGAAAATAGTCATTTATGGAATGACAGAAATTAGGTTGATATTATACTAGCAATAGTATATCCACTTCATGATTTGTTGTTTTATTTAGGTATCTTAAAGTTATACCTGCATAAATAGGGATTCAACTACATACATACACATATAGCTATTCGATATATCGACGACGCCTAAAATTATTTGCCGAAAATTTACAGCTAAACAATGAAAATATAAAGCTTAAATATACAACTATAAAACAAAAAAAACCATTGATTTGCGGCCGTGACAACGTGTATTCTTTTTAATTTTTTTTAATATACAAAAATATTTCACATTCTGTTGTTATCTCACTTTAGTTTTACACATATTCATCTTTCACACAGTTTATCACAGCTTTTCTTGGGTCTCCCTAACCTAACTCTATAACTAATAGTACCTATTGATTTAACTTTACCGGTTAAATAAACCCCGTATTTCTTCAGCTTTTTGGGTGGATTGGCTGAACATTGATAAAAATACGTTCTGTAGTACCGATATTCGCCAGTCCTGTTAGGTCCTGGGTAGCTCGGTGGTTAGAGCAGTCGCCCGGCTTGCGAAAGATAAGGTTCGTGTCCCATGACAAAGTGCCAGGGACAACGTGGACTTTAATTTTTTTTTTCATCAAGAATAATTTTCAGTGTAGCATTGTGAATACAAAATTAATCAAATATAATAATTTGTAAATAAATATTTAGAGTTCTATAATAGGCGAGAGGATGTAACATCCAGATACACTCTGCAAGATCGTAACAACTTATACTGGCTCCACGCATGCAGCTTTACAACTCTGGCCCATAGTCATGTCAGTAAGAATATTTAAAAGTATGACCCAAGAAAAAACTTCATAAAACACGCTAAGCCTTTGTTAGTGACAAAATATTATTATACTATTAATGAATATATAACAGATAAATTTCATTAATTAAATAATCAATTTAAATTAATTATTATGTCATAGCAATAGATAAATAAAAACAAACAACATTTAAATATGAACGTAGATTATACTTATTTTTTAATCAACTTCTAAAAAGGAGGTTTTCAGTTTGACCTGTGTGTACGTTTGTGCGCGATTAT